TCCGCCCACAGAGCTCGCGGCACCGCCCCGCCGGCCCAGCCCCGCCGCCACCGGCCGCCGGGCCTTGCAGCCGCCCTGGCTCAGCGGTGAGGGCGCTTCAGCGACAGGAAACCTTCTGGGTTAAAATGGGACGGGAAGGAGGAAAAAAAAGGGGGAGAAAAGGAAAGAAAAAAGGGAGGTGGGCAATAAAGGAGAAAAGGGAATAAAAAGGGGGAGGGTGGAAGGGAGAAAACGGAAAAAAGGAAGAAAAAGGGAAAAAGGATGAAAGAAAAAAAAAGAAAAAAGGAAAGAAGAAAAAGAAATAAAAAAGACAAAAGGGAAAGACAAAAGAAAAGAAAAAAGGAAAGAAAAATAAAAGAAGGAAAAGAGAAAAGTAAAAAGGAAAAGGAAAAATGAAAGAAAAGAGGGAAAAAAAGGGGAAAGGGAAAAAAAGGGGAAAGGGAAAAAAAGGGGAAAGGGAAAAAAAGGGGAAAGGGAAAAAAAGGGGAAAGGGAAAAAAAGGGGAAAGGGAAAAAAAGGGGAAAGGGAAAAAAAGGGGAAAGGGAAAAAAAGGGGAAAGGGAAAAAAAGGGGAAAGGGAAAAAAAGGGGAAAGGGAAAAAAAGGGGAAAGGGAAAAAAAGGGGAAAGGGAAAAAAAGGGGAAAGGGAAAAAAAGGGGAAAGGGAAAAAAAGGGGAAAGGGAAAAAAAGGGGAAAGGGAAAAAAAGGGGAAAGGGAAAAAAAGGGGAAAGGGAAAAAAAGGGGAAAGGGAAAAAAAGGGGAAAGGGAAAAAAAGGGGAAAGGGAAAAAAAGGGGAAAGGGAAAAAAAGGGGAAAGGGAAAAAAAGGGGAAAGTAAAAGAGGGGAAAGTGAGAAAAAGGGGGGAAGGGGAAAAGGGAAAAAGAAGAGGAAAAATTTAAAAAGAAAAAAGGAAAATAGTGAAGGAAAAAAAAAAAGAGAAAAATTAAAGAGAGGAAAGGGCGTTGTAAGCATCCTGGAAAGATGTAACAAACAGCAAGCTCTGCCCGTGGGCAGCTGTTGGGCTCAAACTGCCTGGCAGCTGCTGCTTCCCCCCCCACCCCGGCACTGTTCACCACCATAAATGAGTCACTTCACTTTTTGGCAGGGGTTTGCCAGCCATCAGAGTTTGCTGCCCTGTTAAAAAGCTGATGGGATGAAGCTCACAGCCTCAAGTGATCGCTCTGAACAGAGGGACAACCAGCCACATATGTGCTTGAGTCTCAATCAAAGCCTCAGCGCGGTCACAGAAAAGACTCGTGCTGATCTCTTCTCTCTGGCAACCAACGCCAGGACCAGGGGAAATGGCAGGAAGATGTGGCAGGGGGTTGGACGTTAGGAAAAGGTTCTTGAGTCAGAGGGTGGTGGGGCACTGGAACAGGCTCCCCAGGGAGGTGCTCATGGCACCAAGCCTGACAAGATTCCAGCAGCATTTGGCCAACATGTGCCCTCAAGGACATGGGCTGAATCCTGGGATTGTCCTGTGCAGGGACAGGAGCTGGACTCCATGATCCATGTGGGTCCCTTCCAGCTCACAACATTCGACGGTGCTCTGAATGTGAATACCTCTTGCTATTGAGTGAAATGTGTGTTTCACCTTACACACGCTATGTATTTGAAAGTACATACAGGCTACAAAACAGATACAGTTCTTTGAGAAAAGATGATGGGAGGTAAGATAGTTCCCCTCCAAAATCCTACTACCTTGCCACACTTTTCGAAAGATCTCACCGCTACCCAGCGGCAGCTGGGTCATTGTTCATACAAACACTTCTCTCTGAAGTCACCTCAGTTCACACCGGCTTTACTAGGTGTACTATTGTAACTCTCAGCAGTCTCATTCCATTCCTCATGTATATAATTGCTTTGTCAACTTCATGTCAAGATAAAAATAGGGCCTGAAAATTTATGCCCAGAAGACAGACATCATTTAGAGCTACAATGAGATGTTAGGCTAGAAACACCCAGTAGCCTCAGCTAATGAGGTGTCACTGCAGCGCTGACAGCTTTGTAAAGACACACGAGGTTTTTTCTACCCTTCATCACGGAGCTCTGACTGCAGTGTCACTGTCCAGCACATTTTTGCTGCAGACCATGAATTTATGCCTCTGCATCTGGTTATTTTCAAAGGCCTCTTATGTCAAGAGAAAAACTGAGCCTGCAGAACGGCTCATTTCCAGCAGGTTGTACAATACTTGCCGATTTTCCCTTCTCCACTCACTTGGTTTGAGGCCACAGTTTCACAGAGGCACAGCCCATTGCTGCTGAGACACAGTTCTGTCCTCACCAGGGACTGCCCCTCCGCTGCAGCCATTTCCTGCTGTAGTGTCAGGTCAGGAAATTAATCTTCATTAGAATTAACCTAGGCAGAAAGGGAAAACAAATCTGTTTTGACTGCTTGTTTGTATAACCCAAATACGTGGCTTGGGAGGGAAAGGATGGAGCAAAATTTGGCACAAGGGCCAGAGCAGCAGAGCTGTCAGCCTGCAAAACTGCAGCCACAGGTTTAGATCCCCTTGCACGCGCTTGCCTGGTTCTTTCCCAGACAGAACTGCCTTACCGAATAATCAACACCACTTTACTTGTGCTTACCTTTATTGCCTTCATTTCTCCCCTTCCACCCTTGTGGGAGGCGGCGAAGCAGCAATACACCCAGGCTGTGAAGGTCTCTCACGGCATGTCCATCCCTGCAGCGTCCCTGCCACGCTGCTACACAGCCCCTAAGATTACCCCACGAAAGCAAGCGCAGCTTATTTGAGAGACCTTCTTTAACGAGTTTTAAACGGACTGTTAAATACAAAGTGAGCTAACTTTATAGCTACACGACCTGCAGCAGAGATGAAGGACAAACCTCAGAGCTCCTCTTCCATTTCACTGATGCATACAGAAGTTACCATGCTTTGGGACAGGCACTATTCTAAACAGAAAACAGAGATGACATTCCAAAAACGAGCAAAAGCTAAACTAGCAAAGAGGCACAGGGAACTGAAACTCCTTCTCAAAGAATGAGGACAGGTCACCTTTGCAGAATCAGAAACATCTTGCTTCAAAAATGAATCATTAAGCATTTAAAAACTTTTCGCTATTGAGGGCTTTGGCAGGAGCAGCAAGTTCAAGAGCGCCTGTCTCCCAGAACCCACCTCCACGGAAGCCAGCTAACCAGCACCGCTTTCAGCAGAAACACTTCTGAGGAACCTGCTTTTACAAATGTGACAAATGACACGAGCAAGTGCTGTGGCTGCACTCCCCCCCTGCCCTTTCCCCAGCAAAATTCCTGACCAGAAATACAGCAACAGAATCCCTTGTGCCAGCACACCAAGGAAACCCACCTGGGCTGAGTTGCAGAGGAAACCACAGTGTGCTGTTGTGCATTATTTATTCTAAGCACTCTGAGGTCTGATCAGAAGAGATAAAGAATACTTCAGATTTAGAATTTAAAACAAATTCAGTACATGTTATTATATAAACTTTTATTTACATAAGGCATCAAAATTGCCCTTTTTAAAAAAAGGGTCATTTTCCCTTTTACCAATACTTTGGTGAAAGAAATGTCACATTTAGTAGACTAATATTCACTGGTATACTTGTTCTGAACAAGCAGGTACAATCCAACATACAAGATGAAAAACCAAATGCAAAAGATCTAAGCACACTATTAATCACTCTGTAGAACAAAGAATTAAGGCTTGTTTGCATCACAATGATGATCAATCATGCATCATTTATTCCCACAAAGAATAAAGTTCATTTCCAACTGGAGCAGGAACAGCAAAAGAAGTAGTCTAGCATAATCCCCATATTGTCTACATCAAAAAAACAATTTGGCATCTTAGAAATTAGACTGAAAAGTAAAGGGAAAAGGGAAAGAGAGAGGAAAATAGAAAATGGCCCTTGCTTCAGAATGCTTTAGAAGCATTTCCAGTGTCCGTTTGCAGGAACCCTTCAGTTTAAAAAGGAAAAAAAAAAAGGACTTTCAAGGACTGATCTAGAAACATTTGCAGAAAGAGTGAAGTTGTGGTTCCACCAATCATGAATATGAAACATGTAGAGAAAATACATGGTCTGGAATAATGAATTCCACACAGAGATCCCCAAGTAAATGGCCTATGTACATTAAGCTGAGTCTGTTTAATAGGTCTGATTTATAAAAACGGTAAACCTGTATTATTTTTCGGCCTGATTTCATAATTCCTGAGTTTTAGATCACTGCTGAGCCACAGCAGACAAAACTCTTGAATGATGTAGTGAAAAGTTTTGCAAATCACTTTCCACATGAGCACGCATTTGGCCAGCAACTTTCAATCATCAATAAACGTCAGTCTTCCGGGTCCTTCATTTTTCATCCACCGCCGATACCTCTTCCATCGGGGATCCATAGCCATCTTCTTCTTTAACTCCTCCTCCTGTTCTCGTTTATAGACCTGACAGACAGACAAAAGCTTTAAATAAGGCTGAAGAACCAGCTTAAGTGGACCTCATGGGGGATGTAAGTCGTCGTGGGGGATGTAAGTGAACCTCATTCACAGTCCATTCACCAGCTTACTGTTTTCACAGAAGATTGAATTGCAACACAGACATGAACCCTGGCCAACACCACGGCAGGAGGATCTCCAGCTGAGGGGCCTGCTCCCTGTACTTGAGAAGCTCTGCATTTCTGCTGAGAGCAGCACTACCTCCTTGTAAGACGGTGCTGCAAGCTCCAAAACTTGTTTTGCTAAAGAACTAGATGCTCATGCATTCAACAAAATAAAATACACAGTGAAGAGCTGCTAATGCTCAGAAAGCTGAATTTTGAGTCCCTTCTCAGCACACACACTGTTCAGTGCAGTTATTTAGTGCCTCACTTTAGTTGTTTTCCCATTTCAAAGTCATTGCCTACAGAGAGAATACTGCTATATAACTTTTTTTTCCTAATAAAGTTTCTCAACTAAGTTAATATCTGTGCATTAAGCACTGGCAGTACCAAATTATAAATAATTACATCCTGTCAAGTAATGGCGTCATTGTAATGAAATCTACAGTGATCAGCAAAGTCAAAGATCTTAAAAAAAAAAGTGACAGCACCAGCATTTTTATTCTGGAAGGCAGTTTATGCAGATACAGCCAGTGTAAATCTCAACACCATAAAGGTTTGTGTCACCTCAGTGTCATCTGACTTCTTCCAGGAAGGGAATCAAATTTAAGAACCTGCTATGCATCAACAAGATTTTTAAAATATTATAGATGGCTTTATAAATACACAAGCTCAATGTTCAGAGATCATACAGGAATTATTAGGAAAGTAAAAAGGGGGGGAGGTGGAATTGTGGACCTGCATGATGTAACGTGTATTGAATTCTTGTTTCTTCCCCTCCTGAAAGGACACTGGGAAACTGAACAGTCTGCAGACAGGCATCTCCATGATAGGCATCAGTGAGCCCTTGTGGCCAAGGCGGCCAGCAGTATCCTGGGGAACATTCAGAAGAGTGTGACCAGTAGGTCAAGAGAGGTTCTCCTCCCCCTCTACTCTGCCCTGGTGAGGCCACCTCTGGAGTACTGTGTCCAGTTCTGGGCTCCTCAGTTCAAGAGGGACAGGGATCTTCTGGAGAGTCCAGCAGAGGCCACAAAGATGATGAGGGGCCTGGAGCATCTGCCTTACACGGAAAGACTGAGAGAGCTGGGGCTGTTTAGTCTGGAGAAGAGAAGACTGAAAGGGGACCTTATCAATGCTTATAAATATCTAAAGGGTGGGTGTCAGGATGGGGCCAGACTCTTTTCAGTGGTGGCCAGTGACAGGACAAGGGGCAATGGGCACAAGCTGGAACACAGGAGGTTCCACTTAAACATGAGGAAAAACGTCTTCACTGTGAGGGAGCACTGGAACAGGCTGCCCAGAGAGGGTGTGGAGTCTCCTTCTCTGGAGATGTTCAAAACCCACCTGGATACAGTCCTGTGCAGCTTGCTCTAGGTGAACCTGCTTTAGCAGGAGGGTTGGACTACATGATCTCCAGAGGTCCCTTCCAACCCCTACTGTTCCATCATTCTGTGATCTCTAACGATCAAAGACCAGAGAAGTTTTGGGGGAGAAACACCAAACCATATTTTTCAGCCTAGAAAAGACCTGACTAAGTTTCAAGTAGTATATCAGAGTGGTACAGAGGAGCACAGGTAGCACGAGAGAAAAAGAATAAAGCATGATTGTTCTCCATTTCCAATAATACAAGGACCAGCAGGCATCTAGCTGGTTTAAAAATAAAATTTTTCTACATGTACTGCTGAACTCACGACCAGACTGCACAGCAGACACTGAAAGTTCTAATGCATTCCAGGAGTGACCAGAAAAGTTTATTAAAAGAAAAACTCATTAAAGCCATTACCTACAAGGACAGAATTTCCTTTTCAGGAAGTCCCAAAGCTGGAAATGGTAATGGATAAATATTGCTATATCTATATAGGTGCAACTTCCATGCATTCCTCACCAAAAATCAACTGCTGGCCACCACAGGAGATGAGACTGTGCCAAAGAGACTTCTCTTCCGGCA